GAGCAGAACCAGGAGAACATAGTACGCAGTAACAGCCACATTGTACAATGATCAACTTTGATAGACTTAGTTCTTCTCAGCAATGCAACAATCTAAGATAATTCCAAAAGACTCATGATGGAAAATGTTAACCACACCCAGAGAAAGAACTATGGAGTCTGAACGCAGATTGAAGCATACTATTTTTCCTTTTCGGTTTTTTTTTCTTTCTCATGGTTTTTCCCTTTGGTTCTAATTTTTTCACAGCTGACTAATGTAGAAATATGTTTAATATGATTGTACATGTGTGGCCTATATCAGATTGCATGCCATCTTGGGGAGGGAAGAGGGGAAGGAGAGGGAGAAATTAAAAACTCAAAATCTTATAAAAGTGAATGTTGAAAACTAAAAATAAATAAATAAATATTTTTAGAAAATAAACAAAAAAAAAAAGAGAGAGAGAGACAGACCTGAGGGAGGAACACTAATTAGAGGCTATTGCAACTGCCCAGCCAAGAGGTGATGAGTGCCTGAACAAGGGTTCTTTCTAGTCCCAAGATTCCATGATTCTGGCCTTGATGTTAGAGAGAGCAATGGAATGTCTCAGCAGGTTTCTACCTAAGCTAAGAACTCAAGTCCGCTTAGATTTTCCCTAGGCATCCTCTAACTAGATCCAGTATGGCACATGTAATGTACATTCCATGAATGCTGACAGACTGAGTCGGCACCAGCTAGGCCAGAATTGCCCTGATGTTTGTTGGTAAGTGAGCTTTGGAGGAATTTACTCCAGTGTAGCTATACTGAAGCTCTTAGAAACTCAATTGTTTTCATTTCTATAGCAGGCATGTTTAACTTTAAATTAAAGTTCATTGTCCAGCTAGCAGAGGCTACTGTTACTGCTTTGGTTGAACCATTCAGGAAGCTAAGAATAACCTGCCTATGCATTTGGCCCCAGCATTAGCTGTTGCATTAATTTATGAATTCAGTTCAACAAATGTCTATTAAATTTCTTCTGTGTATAAAAGTAATTTAAAAAGCATTTATTAAGTGTCTAAAATAATAGCTAACATTTTATGTAGTGCTTTAAAGTTGGAAAATGCTTTACATATATCATCATATTTGATTCCTATTATGTGCAAAGTGAGAGGCAGAATGGCACTTACCTCCCAAAGTCATGAGGATCCAATGAGATAATATTTACAAAGCTCTTTGCAAACCTTTAAGTGCCAAATAAATGCAAGGTGCTATTGTTATTATATGACAGTTTGTCTAATACTTTAAGATAGATCACATCCCCCCGAAGTCTCTTCTCCAAAATAAATGTCTTCAGTTTCTTCAAGCGGCTGGATGGCACAATATATAGAACTCTGGGTCTGTAGTCACAAAGGTCTGAGTTCAAATCTGGTTTCAGACATTAGCTGTGTGACTCTAGGCACTTAATCTCAGTCTCTTCCACTATAAAATGGGGCTTGTTATAGCACCTACCTCATAGGGTTGTTGTGAGGATTATATGATGTAATATTAGCAAGGAGGGTTTTAGCATGATGCCTGGTACATAGTAGGCACTTAGTAAATGCTTATTACTTTACCTTCAATGAATTCTAATGTGAAAGTCAGAAAGAGTTGGATTCAAATCTTGTCTTACACATGCTAGTGTGTGACTACAGATGAATCACTTTATGTGTCAACCAATTAATGTCTTAGGCTACTTTCTAGGATTACAAGTTATAGATGAATTGCTCATTTGTAGTAGTTGAGAGAGTTTTCACATCAGGAGTTCTGTATGTGAATGAAATCCTAAGTCTAGATCTAATATGTGTGTGTGTATCTATGCATTTATCATGCTAAATGTGGGAAAAAATTTTGATCATGCTTTTGATGAGCATCTGAAAGACCTATTGACTTTGGACGCAGTATAATATTGTAAGGAGCATGGCTCTGGAATCAAAGGACCTTGGCTCAAATTTTACCTCTGATATCTACTGGCAAGTAGGTGACTAGATTTGGAGGACTTGAATTCAAATCCTTACTAAGATATTGTCTGTGTGACTCTGAATAAGCCACTCACCTCTCTCAGTCCCTAGAATAGAGGGTAGAAAATGGGGATCCACCTTATAGGGTTGTTGTGACAATTAAATCAATAGTTTATATACAGTGTTTTGAAAACTTTAAAGCACTATACAAATATGAGCTATTATTATTACTGAGGCAGTTAGGTGGCACAGTGAATAGAGTGCCAGGCCTGGAGTCAGCAAGATTCATCTTCCTGAGTTCAACTCTGGCCTCAGACACTTAATATAGCTGTGTGACCCTGGGCAAGCCACTTAACCCTGTTTGCCTCAGTTTCCTCATCTGTAAAATGAGTTGGAGAAGGAAATGAAAAAGAACTCCAGTATGAGGTCATGAAGAGTTGAATATGACTGAAAATGACTGAACAGAAACATTATTATTATCATTACTGCCAGTGTAAGCTTGGGTTTCAGTATCTTCATCTATAAAATGAGGGAATTAGACAAGATGGTCTCTGAGATCTCTTCCAGTTCTACATGTTTGATCTTTCCCTGAGTATTAGACTTTTGTTTTCCTTTTCCTCTTTGATGTTACTAATTTCCATAAAATGTGCAGCGTGTAGCAAATTTAAATTACACCTGTCTCTGGAGATGTTAGGCAGGTTACTTTTGGGAAGAAGGGGACACGTCCTTGGGTCCTTGGCAACGTCATTTGCTCATTTGTGTAATTTCTTCAGATAAATGAGATAAAGGGAGCTGACCCTGACAAGTTACAAAATGCTGAAGGTTCTTTCCAAACTGGGGTGATTGGAGGCTGTTATGGGGATGGGAATAGAATTATGGAGTTGTACAGGCATAAGCACTTAGCATTAGGGAAAAATGGACTAAGGTGCTGATTGAACTGCATCATTTGGGAGAAATCAGACATCTGAGTTAGAACTTTGGTACCTTGGGCTGATTATTACAAGTATGGCTCCCCGCTCCTTGCCACACTTCCTTCAGCTTTCACATATCCTATATTTAGTCTCAAAGACTGCAACAGTAGGGAAATTATCAGCCCCCTGCATGATGCATAATTTCTCTAGGAAGCTTGAAGATCCCTTAGTTTCCTGTTATTAAAATGTACAATCTATATTCACGTAAGCAACTTCTTTCAGATAAAAGCCTCAAAAAGAATTAGAAATATCTACCACTAGTTGGAAGTTGTTTTTAAGAAGTAAATCTCTATCAAGGCACCATCATTTTTCAAATCACAAATCCTTGAGGTCATCTTTGACTCCCCTCTTCATAACCAGTCAATTACCAAGTCTTCATAATTTTTTTTAATTGAAAAGTTTATCAAAACATTTTCTTTCTTCCCCATTCCCACTGTAACATATTCAAAATGATACGGAAATTATTGTATGTTATTCTACCATGTCTAACAGAAATTCTGTGGTTTAGGGCCCATAATATATATTTTTCTGTTGACTAGAAACTGAAACTGGAAAGAAATAGCAATTTCAGGCAGAAATGAAATACAGCAATCTGGGAACAGTTCTATGAATCAATGAAGCTGAGTTGAAATTGGGGTTAGGGTTCATAGGTAGATGAGAAAGGACCAGTGGAGAAGGTGAGGTTGAAGACATAGGATAGAGAGTAGATAATAGATAAATCAAGTTCCTGGAGAAGGCAGGTCTGGATGTTATCAAACCTGGTACAGAAATTAGCCTTCTTTTGGGACAAGAATGAAGGAAACAAATAATAATATAAAGATTTATTATAGTGTTATTTGCACATGCACACACCCACATGTATGTATATATAATTCTATATAACCACATGCCTTTTCTGAATAAATCTGAAATTGCTGATGGGGAATATTTGCTTCAGAAAAAAAAATTACGTCTGTATTTGAGGGTAGGATTTCCCACCCTGTATACGCTGATCTACCAGCTAGCTGTTGTTGCCCCTCTCTGCTAACCTCCAAGGTTTGCCAAGATTTGGAGAGGGGTTTAAAGAGGGCAGTGGATACTTATTCTCTCACTCTGCTTAAAAATTTATTGTCAGCCTTGTTCCAGGTGTCTTAAAGCTTCATAGAAGGAGAAATATTTCTGCTAAAATGAAATAGAAGAAATGTTTCTCCTACAATGAACTAGGAGAAATATTTCTCCTAAAAAAGAAAGTTGAGGATCCATATTTGGAGAATGTGTGTTTCCTAAGCTTGGAAGAGAGATGAACATTACTCCTCCCTATTGATACTTCTCTTTCCTCCCCATTCTTATCTCACAGTATAATTATTATAAAACAATAAGCTGCTTAGATCTACATCTATTTTACAGTTGTCAACAACCTGGAATAGTGTATGTAGTGACTTGATTTTTACCAAGCTTTATGTAGCATACCCTATTACTACAAACCAGTCAATGAACCATACAAGTACCAAGACAAGCTGATCAGAAGTATAACATAAGACTTTTGTTAAGGAGACTCAGAAATAGAAATGAATCTTTTGACTAGAAGGGTTTTCAGATACTTATTCTGTGAACATAGTAACTACCTCCCCCTAGCCTTTTGACAAAGTCAACATCCTTGATTATCATGACAGCAATAGTCACATCTTATATGCCAGAAGAGTTGGGTGGACTAAAGGAAATCAATCTTTTCTCATGAGTGTGAAGAATACAAAATTATTTCCCTAAGTCTCGAAAGTCAGGGGCAAGAGCTTCTGCTTTTGATGTAGGTGATAACAACTGACCTGGAAGAAAGTAGAGAAAAAGCAACGAAATAAAAACTAAAGGAATGTGTGGAGAGAGACAGAGAGACAGACAGGGAGCAAAACTGACAGAGAGAAAGAGAAAAGAAAGAATAAAAGAAAGAATTTCCTGATTTCATAAGGAAAAGAAAATATTTAGGAAGGTGAGCTGGTGAATAATTCTTATTTTTCTCATTCTTTTTAGTCTTCTTAATTGTTCTAGGTAGCAACAGACTAAAAATTTAGGCAACTATGAAACTAGAAAAGCATGAACTTACCTTCAGCTGTGAAGCAAGATGCTTTCTGGCTGTGACCATGGAGAATGAGTTTACTTTGAAAGAAATTCAAATAGCATAGACCTTGTAATAGAGAATTCCTGGAACATATGTATCAAAAGAGAGACAGTTATTTTGTTATCATGACCTTGGATCAATGTCATATGAATTCAATTGCATACTTCTGAATATGAGCCTCAAAAACTGGAAGCACAGAACCTACTGAAAATGCTTCTCATGGAATTTACCTGCTAAGCAAGCACAGAAATTTTGCCTTTTCTCTTTTTTGAATGCAGTTCTAGAATTGAATTTTATTTTAGAATAAAAGAGCTATAGAAACGGGGACTCTGAAGATAGGATGCCATGGGAATGATTAGGAGTGGTTTTGTTTTATACTTTCCAACAAATTTTTCAAAACAGCTAGCAAACATTTGGTATATTATTAGTAATTTTGAAGTAGAGAACAAGTCAATTGCCCATATTTCACAAGACTAAACAATGAGATAGGTGATTATTTTATTATTTTTATATAGGAAGCTGTGTTCTCAAAAGCATGTAACACATCATAGGCCAGATGATAACACCTAAGTGTTCTGCCAATTTTCTATGATGACATATGTACTCAATACCCTTTGTCACATATGCATAATGATGATGCAGAAATCATTGTAAGTTGTTCCAACATGAGAAATTCAGTAGTTTAGTTAGAGCTGTGATTGAATATTTTCTGTTCACAGTGAACTGCTGATAAATATCAACCTCAAATAGAAAGCGAATGTAGCAATTTGGAAACAGTTCTCTGAATCCATGAGGCTGAATCACAACTAATGTCAAGGTTGTCAAATAGCAGTAACACCATTTGGAATATGTGGAATATGGTTTAAAAAAATACAAACCCTACGATTCTTCACTAAGGTTCTTTCATCTAACCTTCATTGCCTCTGTCTAATGAGTATCCTCTTTAATCTTCCTCTATAACACATCCACATCTTTCTCTTTTCTTCCCCAATCTAGTAAGGGGAAGGAGAAAGAAGTCCAAAGCAAATGCAGTTTGGATGTGGCTGTTTGTAAGTTGGAAAAATGGGCCAATAACCTCTCATGGACAACTAGGGAGAGTGTCAAGAAAGTTCTATTTAGCCTAATTTCCTCTGAGGGAAATTTATAATATTATTTACATTTATATAGGGCTTTAAAGTAAATAAAGCACTTTCCTCATAATAACTCCATTCACTCCAGGAGGTAGGGAAGCTGAGGCCTTCATGAAAGGTTAAGTGACTTGCATAATGACACAGCTAGGAAGTGTCTGAGGTGGGATTCAGATCCAGGACTCTTGACTTCATGTCTAGGGCTCTATCTACTGTACAATACTGCCTTTCATTACACATCAAATAGGTTGGCAGACTCTTGAGCATGCTACTTTGAGGGGAGATGTCACAGGTACAAGATGAAGGAAAAAGGCCTAATTAGCAGAACACTAACTAGATTTCCTAAATAATCCAAATTGAGAAAAGGAAATTGATTTAGCTATAAAGAATTACTGGAGGAGTGGGGAACAAACCTAGTCCAGGTAGATTAAAAGGTGGATTCTAACCAAACTTTTTAAGAAAAATAACCCCTATACTACATAGATTGTTCCTTAAGAAAGAAAATATTCTGCCAAACACTTTTTGTGGGACCAAAGCCAGGGCAGGATATAGAAAAGAAAGAAATGCCTTGACCAATATCATTAATGAATATTGATTCAAATATTTAAAATAAAATCTTGAAAAAGTATTATAGTAATTTGTTCAAATGAACTTTCACTGTGATTAAGCTGGATTTATGTTGGGGATATAGGGATGCTTAAACATTAGGAAAACCCCATAATTATAATAAAAACTGTACCATAAAATACATGATTATATTAATAGATGCAAAAAACCTTTTGATGAAGTATAATACTAATTTATGCTAAAAAACCAACAAAGCTTAGACATAGAAGGATATTTTTATATTATAAAATATATTTATATAAAATCAAATGCTAGCATGATTTTCAGAAAGAAACATTAAAAGCTTTCTCAGTAACTATCAATAAATCAATGAACAAATATTTATAAAGTACTTACTATGTGCCATGCACTGTGCTAATAAGCGCTGGGGATACATATATGTGTGTGTGTATATATACATATATATATATATATATATTTATACATACATACATATATATATATGCATATATACACACACACACATACACACAATACAGGATAAATTATATATAAGATAAACCAGAAATGATTAACTGAGAAGGCATTAGAGTTAAGAGAGGTTAGGGAAAGCTTCTAGTAAAAGAAGGGATTTTAGTTGGGACTTAGAGAAATCCAGGGAGATCAATAGGCAGAATGGAGAAGGGAGAGCATTCCAGACATGGGGAGCAGCCATTAAAAATTCCTGGGGCTGAGAGAGATGGAATTTCTTGCTCATGGAACAGCCAGGAGGTCAGTAACACTGGACTGAAGAGTACCTGTTGGAAAGTGAGGTGTAAGAAAACTGGAAATATAGGAGGGGGCTAGGTTATGAAGGGCTTTGAATGCTAAATGGAATATTTTCTATTTGATCCTGGAGGCAATAGAGAGTCATTGGAGTTTATTGAGTAGAGGAGTGACCTGATTAAACTTGTGCTTTAGGAAGATCACTTCAAATAAACAAAAAGTCAATAAAACAAGGGTGCCCTTTTTTCCACTGTTATTTGACATAATTCTAAAAATGCTAGCAATAGTAGTAAGAAAGGAAGTTAACTGAAGACACAAAGATGGGTAAAGAGAGGACAAAAAATATCTATTTGCTGTTGATATAATGGTTTACTTTGAAAATCCTAGGGATTCAATAAAGAAACTAATTGAGACAATAGCTTCATTAAAATAGAGGGTTACAGAATAAATGTACAAAATCAACAACATTTCTATATATCAATAAGAAAACACAGAAAAGGATTATGGAAAGGGAAAACTGACCTCATTATTTTCCACCTCTCCACCCGCCTCATCCTAAGTTCTCTGTTACTGTCAAGGGCATCCCTTTCCTACCAGTTACTCATGCATGCAACTTAGGTGTCATCCTTGACTTTTCACTCTCTCTTACCCACTACATTTAATCCATTGCTAAATCAAGTTGATTCTACCTTTACAATATCTCTTCTATCACCTCATGCCTGGACTGTTGAAATAACCTGCTGCTTTGTCTCCTTGATTCAAGTCCCTCTCCACTCCAGTCTATTTAGCTATCAAACTGATCTTCCTGAAATGCAGCTCTGATCATTTTATAAACTGTTACCTCCAGGATCAAATATAAAATTATTTGTTTGTTTTTTAAAACCCTTCATAACCTGATCCTGTCCTACCATTATTATATCTTTTACTATACTGCCCTCCACATAATCTATAACCCTGTGACAGCAGCTTTCTAGCTGTGCCTAGAACAAGATAACCCATCTCTTGATCCCATGCATTTTCACTGACTGGATCCTATAATTGGAATACTCTCCCTCATCTCTGCCTCCTGGCTTTCCTAGATTCCTTCACACCTTAGCTAAAATTTCCCCTTTAGCAAAAAGCATTTCCTGGTCCCCCTTAATGTTAGTGCCTTCCCTCTATAAGTATGTCCAATTTTATATATCTCTATAAGCTCTGTGTTTTATATGCACCTAGGTATTTACGTGTTATCCTCTCCATTAGATTGTGAGATCCTTGAGGACAGAACTTTTTTTTTGCCTTAAAAAAATTTCCAGTACTTAGCAGAGTTTGACACATTGTAGGTACTTAATAAATGCTCGTTGATTTAACTTGACTTGAAATTCCATTCAAAATAACCATAAGGTTGTCTTGGGAGTCACTGTACAAATTACAATACCTATATAGATTTAATTACAAAATTCACCTTCAAGAAATAAAGATCTATTTAGGTGACTGGAGGGATATTCAGTGTTCATGTCTGGAACATGGTGACAATAAATAAAATGATATTACCAAAATTAATTTATAGAATTATTTCTTTATCAATTAAACTAATAAGGATATATTTTGTAATTTGTTTGGAGGAACAAATGATCTAGAATATCAAAAGAAATAATGAAAAAGGAACTTGGATGGCAATAGCCCATCCAGACCACAATCTGTATTATAAATAAGCATCAAAGCTATTTGGTATTGGTTAGAAATAGGAAAATAGATCAATAGAACAGACTAGATAAGGCCAAATAAAAAACAGTTGAATTCAATAATCTCCCATAAACCTGAAAATAAGTAACAAACTAGGAAAGAACTCACTGTTTAATAAGAATTACAGGCAAAACTAAAAATCAATCTGGAAGAAAATAGGTTTATGTCAGTATCTTATATAACATACCAAATAAACTTAAAGTGAATTCATGAAGTGAAAATTAAAGATCATCCCACAAAAAAGTGAGAAGAAAATCAGATTATGTGCCATGTACACATGTAGCAGTTAGGTGCTGCACTGGATCGAACACTGGCCAGGAGTCAGAAAGACCTGAATCCAAATCCAGCCTCAGATGCTTACTATTTGGGTGACTCTGAGCACATTACTTAACCTCTCTCTACCTCAGTTTCTTCAGACATAAACTGGAGATTATAATAGCCCCTACCACACATGTTTGTTGTGAAGATCAAATGAGATGATGTTTGTAAATGCTTAGTGCACAACCTGGCACATAAAAGGCACTTAATAAACACTTATTCCCTTCCCAGACCTGTCCCATACCTTCCTTTTCACCTATGTCTGGGTAGTGAGTTCTTAACTAAACAAGGGATAAAGATTACAAAAAGTAAAACAGATAATTTTGACTATATGAAACTGAATAAAAGCAGTGCCACAAAAATCAGAAGGGAAGTATTTGAACTAGGAAAAAAAAGTCACTTTGTACACTTGATATTTTGTTGATTTGATTTTTTGTCTTCTTTTTCTCAGATTGGCAAAAGGTTTATTAATGTTATTAGTTTTTTTTTAAATAACACTTAGTTTTGTTGATAATTTGTATAGTCATTTTGGTTCCTAGTTTATTGATTTCTCCT